TAAAATCCTCAAACATAACAATCATGAAGCTACAAGTTACCAAAACCTGTGGAATACTGCAAAAGAAGCCTTAGAGGGAAATTTATCACATTAGATGTCTACATCAAAAAAACAGAAAGAGACCACATCAACAAACTAATGAAGCATCTTAAGGAAATGGAACAGGAAGAATACTCTAATCCCAAACCTAGCAGAAGAAAAGAAATAACCAAAATTAAATCAGAAATAAATAAAATTGAAAACAAAAGAATCATTCAGACAATTAATGAAACAAAAAGTTGATTCTTTGAAAACAGACAAAATAGATAAATCTTTTGCCAGATTAATTAGAAAAAGAAAAGTAAAATATTTAACAATCTCAATCATAAACGAAATGGGAGAAATAATAACAGATATTACAGAGATACAAGAGATTGTCTTTGACTACTATAAGAAACTCTGTGCCCAGAACTTTGGCTGGGGCTGGGTTTGAACCCACCACCTCTGGTATATGGGGCTGGCGCCCTATTGCTTTGAGCCACGGTTGCCCAGAACTTTGATAATGTGGACAAAATGGACCAATACCTGAAATCACACCCTCTCCGTAGACTTAATTAACCAAGAAGAAATAGATCTCTTGAACAGACAAATATCAAGCCCTGAGATTGAAGAAACAATAAAAAAATCTTCCAACAAAAAATATGCTTTGGACCAAATAGCTTCACACCAAACTTATATCAAACCTTCAAAGAAGAGCTTATTCCCATACTGCAGAAATTATTCCAAAACATTGAGAAGGAAAGAATCTTTCCCAACTTGTTACCTGCTTGTTACCTGCTTGTTACCTGAAGCAAACATCACCCTGATACCAAAACCAGGAAAGGACACAACTAAAAATGAGAACTACAGATCAATTTCACTAATGAATATTGATGCAAAAATACTCAACAAAATCTTAGGCAATAGATTACATTAAAAAAAAGTATTCATCACAATCAAGCAGCTTTCATCCCAGGGATACAAGGCTGGTTTAACATACACAAATCCATAAATGTAATTCACTGTATCAATAGAAGCAGAAACAAGACCCTATGATTCTTTCAATAGATGTAGCAAAGGATTTGATAAATCCTTTCATCATCCTTTTCTAACAAGAACACTTAAAAATATAGGCATGGGTGGAACATTTCTTAAATTGATTGAAGCCATCTACAAAGCCACAGCTAATATCATAGTGAATGGAGTAAAACTGAAAGCTTTTCCACTTAGAATAGGAACCAGACAAGGATGTCCTCTATCACCACTACTATTCAACATACTTCTGAAACTTCTAACCAAAGAAAACAGGCAAGAGAAGAATATAAAAGGCACCCAAATGGGGGAAGAGGAGGCCAATCTCTCACTCTTTGCTGAAGATATGATCTTATACTTCAAGAACCCCAAAGACTCAACCATAAGACTCCTGGAAATCCTCAAGAAATACAGTAATGTCTCAGGTTATAAAATCAATGTACATAAATCAGCCTTTATATATACTGATAATAGCCAAGTTGAGAAACTAATCAAAGACCCGATTCCTTTCACAGTAGCTTCAAAGAAAATGAAATACTTCAAAGAAAATGAAAGGAATATACCAAACAAAAGAGATGAAGGACCTTGACGAAGAGAATTGTGAAACCATAAGAAAAGAAATAGCAGAAGACACTAAGAAATGGAACCATGTTCATGGCTGAGAAGAATCAACATTGTTAAAATGCCTATTCTATCCAAAGCAATCTACAGATTCAGTACAATTCCCATTAAAATACTGACATCATACTTTGAAGAACTGGAAAAAATGTTCTTCATTTCATATGGAACCAGAAAAACTGTTTAGCCAAGCCAATTTTTACTGAAAAAACAAAGCTAGAGGCATCACCCTACCAGACTATAGGCTATATTACAAGTCAAAAATAGAGACATAGACATTCAGAACCAAATAAAAAGCTAAGAGATGAAAGTAGTCTCTAGTTGCCATCTGATCTTTGATAAATCAAACAAAAGCATACACTGGGAGAAAGAATTCCTATTCAACAAATGGTTCTGGGAGAACTGGATAACCACAGGTAAAAGACTGAAACTGAACCCACACCTTTCACCACTTACAAAAATTGATGCAAGATGGATAACATATTTAAATCTAAGACATGAAATAATAAAAATCCTAGAAGAAAGTATGAAGAAAACTCTTGATGATGTTGGACTAGGGAATGATTTTATGAACAAGACTTGGCAATTGCAACAACAAAAACAAATAGGACTTAACTAAACTGAAAGCTTCTACACAGCTAAGGACACAACAATCAAAGCAAATAGACAGCCTTCAGAATGGGAAAAGATGTTTGCATGGTATGAATCTGACAAAGGGTTGATAACTTGGTTCTATAGAGAACTCTAATCAAAAAGGGGGGGGGTAAACAATCCTATCTATCACTGAGCAAGAGACATGAACAGAACCTTCTCTGAGGATGACAGATGAATGGCTAACATTTGAAAAAATGCTCATTGTCCCTAGTCACAAGAGAAATGCAAATCAAAACCACCCTGAGATATCACCTTATCCTAGTAAGATTAGCCCACATCACAAAGTTCCAAAGTTCAGATGCTGTCATGGATGCAGAGAAAGGAGAACACTTACACTGTTGGTGAGACTGCAAACTAATACAGCCTCTTTGGAAAGAAGTATGGAGAATCCTCAAAGAACTCAAATTATATCTTCCATTTGACCCTGCAATCCCACCATTAGGCATCTACCCAGAAAAAAAATCATTTTATCATAAGGACATTTGCACTAGAGTGTTTATCACAGCTCCATTTACAATCACCAAGATGTGAAAACAACCTAAATGCCCATCAACTCAGAAATGAATTAACAAGCTTTGGTATATGTACACCATGGACTATTATTCAGCCATAAAAAAGATGGCAGCTTTACATCTTTTGTATTAACCTGGATTGGGTTGAAACACATTCTTCTCAGTAAAGTATCAGAAGAATAGAGAAGCAAGAATCCAGTGTACTCAATACTAATATGGAGCCAGTAGATGATCTAATTCATACTTAATTGAAATGAAGGAGAAAAATTCATTTCAATTCAAGCTGGGAGGAGGGGAAGAAGGGGGGAGTGTGAGTGCAACTTGATGGGCACAATGTAGGAGTATATGGCACACCTCCTGGGTGCAGAACACAGCTATAAGTGGGACTCTACTTATCAAATTCAAATATTGTGGCCTGGTTGTCTGTACCCTCACATTAACGGGAAATATATATGTGAAAATGTAAAATACCTGTAATAATCAAGATAATCTTTAAGAAGGAAAACAAATTTGAAGGACTTAAACTATATAACTATAAGCATTCAAGATAAGAAAGCCACAATAATTAAGAGAGGATGAAACTGGAAAACAAAGGACAAATAGAACAGACAAATATACCAGTGATTACCTAAAAGAAAGATGCAGATATGGCTGGTATTGATGAGGAAGTATAAAATTCTGAGGTGCTGGATATGTTCTATATCCTGATCCAGGAATGGTTGTATTAAGATTTACATATATAAAAACTCTTTGAACTGGACTCTTAAAATATGATAAAAGATGTTATGTTATACCTTAAGAGTTTTTAAAAACAGAATAGAACACCATGAATTGCATATAGTAGTGGTAAACGACTTTTTTCTTTGTTTCTTTTTTTTTTTTTTTTTTTTTGCAGTTTTTGATGGGGCCGGGTTTGAACCCACCACCTCTGGTACATAGGACTGGCACTCTACTTCTTTGAACCACAGGTGCTGCCCAGTTTGGTTGGTTTGTTAAGCCAGAGTCTCACTATGTCACCCTTGTTACAGTGCTGTGGCATCACAGCCCACAACCACCTCAAACTCTTGGGCTTAAGCAATTCTCTTGCCTCAGCCTCCCAAGTAGCTGCCACAATGCCCAGCTATTTTTTTGTTATTGTAGTTGTCAATTCTGTTTAGCAGGCCTGGGATAGGTTTGAACCCGCCAGCCCCAGTGTATGTGGCCAGCGCCCTAACCACTGAGCTATGGGCACCGAGTCGGTAAATGTTATATGTACATGTTTGTAGATATATATACATATGTATGTGCTGGGTCACTACATAAGATGAATTTCTTTCTAAGAATCACTATGAAATTAGTTTGAAACACCACTGCAGTGTACAGCTGCCAGAATGAGCATTATGAAATGCAATCTAATCACGTCACTCACCTGCTTAGAATCCCTTGCTGAACCCTTACTTCAAGTTCTTTACTCAGTGAAACTTTTCATAACCTCTCCCTTGTCTCTATTCCCAGCCTCATGACTCATCACATGCAGTGCTCACATTGTTCCCAGCATGCCCAGCACTTCCCACAACTTCAGCCTTTCGACCCTGTCTTTTTGGCCTAAACTTTGGTCCCTTACTCCCCATTTCTATCCCATCCCTTTTTTGGCCATCTAACTCCTGCTTGTTCTTCAAGTCTGAGAACAAGCTCTGGAAACCTGGAATCTCCAGCCAACCACTAAAAGTCTCCTACAAGTAGAAATGAGCCATCCCTCCCATGTTACTGTAATAAATTCCATTAGAGCCCTTATTTCCCCATAGGAATTAACTGAAGTGCTTATGTCCCCCATGTTGATTACTGGGTTGTTAAAGACAAGGGCTGAGTCTCATTCAGCCCTTGTCCTAGCACCAAGTACAGTATTTGGCATGCCATGAGTCTTTGCTTGTTGAATTGAATTTAAAATATTTTACACTTCTCGTATGAGGTTTTAATATATGTTCTTCATGAAGTGTATTGCACGATTGTGTTTAAAGAATTAGTCTCAACTATCTAGACAACTACTTTTCTGCACACACAAAAAAAGAAATACAAATTCATTCAGGTTCTGTGACTGCCTTTGTTTCTACATAAATATATCTATCTATTGCTGTCCATCAATCTTGCCTGTATTTCCTATTGAAAGTGTTTAATTTTATACTTTAGCTTCCCAGTTCTGGTGATCTGTGGAGCATTCATATGGACTTTGACACAAAACGGCTGGATCCCTGGGAACGAATCATACCTACCTTCAAGTACAGTCGAGATGTTCCATTTTTTGAAATGCTTGTCCCCACAACTGACACAGTGCGCTATGGGTATCTAATGGAGAAACTACTGGCAGTCAACCATTCGGTGTTGTTTACGGGAATAACTGGAGTTGGCAAGGTAGAAAACTACATCAAACTTCCAAATAAATCCTTAATATTGATACTATATACACCAGAGGACCCTGTAGACCGATGGTTGTGTTTAGAAGCTTTTGTGTTATATTTCTTGCTGATTGGGTGAGAATTGGCCAGAAAGGTTTGCATCCACACAAGATTGTTGAGAAAACTCAGCCTGTTTGCTCCTGCCTTTTTACTTGTACCTGATACAGCAAAGGTGTCATGTTTTGAAAAAAAGTAGAATAGAGGTAGAAATACTGATTGCTTGTGCTTCTTGGTTCTGGTGGAGTCCATATGTCAGAGATTCACCGTCTCCCCTCTAAATTATTTCTAGAAGAAATTTGGATCTTTCTGTGACTCTTGCTAGCAGATTGGCTTGCAAAGCAAACAAGATAGACTTGTGTATAAAATTAACAGAAAACTTTTTATTGAGATAGCACTGATTAGAATATTTCTTTGGTTCTGATAAATATAACAAAATTAAATCTCCACTAAAAAAAAAAGTAGACATTTCAATCTGGCTTTAACCTTTCTTTTTTATCCTGTTTCTTATCCACTGTACTGAATTATTATTACTTATATAGACAAAGATTATATTGAATATAAAATCAATTAACTTATTCTTTAATTTAAAGTCTGTGATTGCAAAAGGATTGCTAAGTAAAATTCAAGAATCAGCTGGTTATGTCCCTGTTTATCTAAATTTTTCTGCTCAAACTTCATCCGCAAGGACTCAAGAGATCATTGAATCAAAACTGGAAAGAAAAAGAAAAAACATTCTAGGTAAGAGTCATCCCTTTAATTTGTCCCACACAAATTATTCACTATGTTAATAAATCACATAAATATATATAACAAAATGACAACTGGATATTTTCTTTGCTTACTTTATTTGTAAAGGTAAATCTGTTAGTAGCATGTTTTCCTGTGCTGGACATCTAGCTATCTTACTTTTAACAAGCAAGTAATTTATTTCCATCATCACCTTCAAGTCAGAACGTCTCCAGTCTCTGCCTCCCTCTACCCATACCCTTCCAAACCGGCATTGATTTACCTTTTCTTTTCTTTTTTTTTTTTTCAGACATAGTCTCACTCATTCACCCTGAGATTGAGTGCTATGGCATCGTAGCTCACAGCAACCTCAAACACTTGGGCTCAAGTGATTCTCTTGCCTCAGCCTCCCAAGTAGCTGGGACTACAGACTCCCACCACAATACCTGGCTAGTTTTTAGACATGGGCTCTTGCTCTTGCTCAGGCTGGTCTCGAACCCCTGAGCTCAGGTACACCCACCTTGGCCTCCCAGAGTGCTAAGATTACAAGTTACAGGTGTGATCATTTAAATTTAAATCAAACAAACCTCTTTAGATCTGACACATTGAGTTATCTGAACTCAGTAGGATATACAAATAAAACTTTTCTGTTTTTTTCTTCTGTCAGAGCTTTCAACCAGATATTGTGGTATCTCCCTTATCCTTCCTTATTGACTAGTTAGGTAAACAGCATAACTTTCTAGACACCTTCAGATATTTTGACTCTGGGCAATATAAAGCTTCAGTCCCAAACCCAATTTAAAGCTCTTCCCCTCCCTTGTTGTCAGCCAAGTTGGTAGTCCCAGGTGCTGGAGGTGGAGGGGACTGAGAGGTGCTCTCTACCCCATCCTCACTGTAGGAGGCTGTAGTATGTTGAGATAGGAGGGGAGAAGGAAAGGAGGAGTATCTTATTTCTAACTGGCATTTAGATGGGCCTCTCTGTGGATGGTCCCTACATCTCTGGCTAGTGCTGAATGACTGTCCATGCCATTTGCAAGCCAGGCTTTCAGGATCAGGCCCCTGTGACACGTCTCCCAGAAGAGCTGTTTGTAGGTCAGGCATCAGCCTCACCGTTAAAATATACCCTGAATCAGGGTGTCAGCTTCCACTCATCCCAACCTCCAGTGGTCCATCTGCAGCCTCCTGGGGATGGGGTACCAGCCAGGGCTGGGCTCAGCTGCCCTCCACGCTCTCCACCACCCAGAAGGCCCTGCTGTGTCAAACAGAGGTGCTGCCCACTGCTTCACTGCCTCTGCTCTCTGTTCCCTACTTCCACTCAAATAATCACAGAATATAGATGCCAAGTCTGTTTTCCTCTGGGATCCCCAGATCTCTACAGATGATTCTCTCAGCTCCTACCCCTGGTCTAGTATTTGGCTCCTGGAAGCCATAGGATGGAGTGGAGCATTATTTTCCTCTGTGACCTTGGAATCACCCTCCACAATTAATTCCAACCACAGGGATATGGGCATTTGCCCATCAGGTCTCTCTTTTCTCTGCTGTCACCCTCTTTTTTCCTGATGAGTATGTACATTGATCTTCAAGATAAATGTGGCATTCTGCAGCTCCCTTGTACTGAATTCCCTCTCATGAGATTGGGATGCTGCTGAATAAACTAACCTTTATTTTGCCTGGGAGGATGGTGTAATGGCATTTATAAAATGGAATCTTGGCATTCTTCCTCTTCTTCCTGTGGAAAATAAATGACTTTCCTCACCCATACCCAGGCCACACAGTTGGTAAAGGCAGCAGGTATGGCGGGGGTTGAGAAAGGTCTAGACATTACTGGAGAATTGCCATCGTCATATGCTCTGAGAGGGTGAGGGGTCACCTGCCACAAGGCAGACATCCCGGCCAGGTCCACATCTCCCTGCAGGGTCCTGAATGGGACTGAGGCAAGTCTGTTCTCCTTGGGGCAGGATTCAGCAGGGGCTCTTTTCACTCAAGAGAGAAGAGATGAGCTCAGAATTACCTGCAGGGTGTAACAGTGTCCACAACCATACCTAAGCTTTGCCATACACTTTCTAAGGGCAAGTCATCATTCTTAAATTAAATTTATTTTGTTTCCCCAGGAGCACCAGGAAACAAAAGAGTTGTGATTTTTGTTGATGATCTAAACATGCCCAGACTGGATCGTTATGGTTCTCAGCCTCCAATTGAATTACTTCGGCAGTATCAAGATTTCGGTGGATTTTATGACAGAAACAAACTCTTTTGGAAAGAAATACAGGTCACTTTAGTTTTTAAATTATTTGGTGTGTTTAAATTTAAACAACAAGGAAATATGGCACGTTAGTTTGCTAGAACTGCCATCACATAGTACCACAGACAAGATGGCTTAAACAACAGAAATTTATTTTCTCATAATTCTGAAGTCTAGACGTCCAAGATCAAGGTATTTCTTCTGGGGCCTTTCTCCTTGGAATTAAATGGCCATCTTCACACTGTGCTTTATATGGACTTCCCTGTGTCTGTCTGTGTGCTAATCTCTTCTTATAAGGACACTCATCATGTTAGATTACAGGTCACACTAATGACCTTTTTTTTAGCTTTATCACCCCTTTAAAGACCCTGTCTCCAAATACAACCACATTGTGAGGCACTGGGGTCAGGGCTTCAACATATGACATAGGGGTAGGGGCCACAATTTAGCTCATTAACACACGGTTGCACGTAATTCAATTCATCCGACTATATTGGGTTCTTTGCATTCATGGACAAGTGAGACAGTCTGTGCCTCTCAGAGAGCTGCTCTTCAGAGGATGGACAGACATTTATAATGCAGGGTGCTAAGTGAGGACAGACAGGAGAGAGTCTGTGTGGGGCTGGGCTGAGAGTGAGATAAGCCTTCCCAGAGGGGATGTCAGAGCTGGATCACAAAGGCGGGGCATGCCAAAGTAGGGAAAGAGAGCATTTTACCTCTCAGAAGCATGAATGTAAGTGCCATCATGGTGTGAAATTGAGCACCAAAGCAGCAGGAGGTGCAGAGGCCTGTAGTCCCATGATGAAGAGCCTGAGTTTACCCTGTAAAGGGATGGGGAGCTTCCGAAAGAAATGTTAGGGGAAGATCCCCTTGGTGCAGGAGGCCTAGGCCAGAACGAAGGCAGAACCAGAGGTAAATGCAGTAGCTGAGATGAGAAGGGATGAGGCTGCTTATTCTCCCCATTATAACCACAGGGCTTTTGCTCTCCATTTTACTTGTAAGAGCCCAGCACCATTCCTGCTACACTGTGATTAAATCTTTACTATTTGTGGATGCTGTGTCCTATTTGTAACTGGAAAATCAATATTCATTGCACTTAATCTCAGTCATTTGTAGACACACAGAGAGTTGCAAAAGTTTTAAGCCACCCAACACATAGTTTCTAGCTGAGGCTAAATAAGGCAACATTCTGCCTTCTCATTTCAGCTCTCACACTGCAAACAGATGCCCTTCTCAAGGTCTACTTCCTGCCACATTTTTCACATTTTATACTTTCCAATGGTGATTTTGTTATATCAAATGGCCCCAAATGTAGTGCTGAAGTGCTGTCTGCTGTTCCTAAGTACAAAGAAGCTGAGATGTGCCTCACAAAAAACATATAAGTTTGATAAGTTTTTTTTCAGGCATAAGTTATAGTGCTGTTGGCAATAAGTTCAATATTAATGAATTAACAATATAAAATAAGATGTTTGACTTATTTCACTTACTTTGCACATGTTGGCCAGTTAATAAAAATGTCATGATCAGAGACTTGTAGGAACCTAACCTTGTATTTCCTCTAGGAACAATCGTTCAGTATTTACTAATTCAGAGCTCCAGTCATCTTTATTGAACATTACCACCATGAATAATGAGAATCAACTGTACTTAGTATTTGTTGAAAAATGTTCGTATTTTAACTTCAAATACAAAGTTTTTAAGGTCAAGTTTTTACATAAAGGTATATGTGCAAAGTGGATGAGTTAGCTGAGTGACCTTGAATAACTCATTTAACCATTTATGGCCTTGATTTTTTTCATCTATAAAATAGGGGTAATGATAGTGATCTCTTAGGGTGATTGTGAGAATTGGTTCATTTAATGTGCACCCAAAAAATGTAATGCAATGCTGGTAGGTAGTAGGTCATCAAAAAAATGTTTTGTTTTGTTTTTTAATCCTGCCACTGCAGTGGGCAGATCTCACTTCTTTCTTTGCCTGGTGACCCAATGGACTCTCCCTATGCAGGATGTAACAATTGTTTCGGCATGTGCACCTCCAGGCGGTGGCCGCAACCCTGTGACCCCCCGCTTCATCCGACATTTCAGCATGTTCTGTCTTCCAACACCCTCAGAGCACAGTCTGAAACAGATTTTTCAGGTAAGTGTGGATTTAAATTTAAGCTAAAGGGTAAAAAAAAACCCAAAGCATATTTTCCAAAGTTCCCACAATCAAAGCGATCTGTTAGGTTTCTAGGGAGCTCATCATCTTTTTCCTGGGCAGAAAGCAGGTAAATATGGATACCTGGAAAGTAGCTGCCAGGCATTTGCATCACTGCCTTCTGTGTTTGTGTCTCAGGGATAGTTTTAGGAATGCAGAAACACTGTGCAAACATAACCACAGCTTTTAAAGAAGCCGGTGCTGTAGGTCCTTGACCCTTAGCACTCTGCACACAGCTGTTAGTAGGTCTCAACACGACCAACTCTTCACCTTTGTGCTCATCTCATACCTGACCACCAGGTGTGTGTGTCCAATTGCCACCAAGCACAAAACCAGACACTTTGGGGTGGTCAAGCTCAACACACCTAAAACAGAATTCATCACCTTAACTGCCACCACTAAGAATGACAGCCCATATTTCTTTCATTTGTACTAACTTCCCTAAGGGGTCACTTCTGCATCTTTTAAATGAGGAAAATAAGGGCTCCTGCCCTGTGAGTGACTGCTCAGCAGAATGTTCCATAAATGTGAGAGACATTATTTTGAACAGAACCATGACAGAACAGGAATCAGCATGACTAGAGACTTGCTTGTAACCAACAAGCAAAAGACACTTAGAGAAGATAGATTGGAAGCTGAGTCTTATAGGATTGACAGGAGGGAAGGGATCTTGGGAACAGGGAGTACTTGGGTGAATGCAATCACAGAGGGAGGAAACAGGAAGGCAGGCCTATGGATAGAATAAGACCTTTCAAGTGACTGGCCTGGAGAAGGTGGCTTTGTAAGTAACTACTGGTAATGTAGGGATTAAGAGAATTTACACCTTTACCAATATCAACTCTTCTTCCAAGGACATCCAACTTTTTTTTTTCCTCTGCCATATTTTGGAAGAATTAGAGTTGTCCTGTGCCACATATTAAATACACAAACACTAACATAAGCTGATTAGTTTTAAAAAAGGTTCATGCATATTTTTCTTGGTATCTGACACCACAGATAAGCCAAAAAGGCCTCACAAAAGCAGCATTTGGCCTGCAGCCCGCAGTTTGGACACTTCTGCATGCAAGAGGGACAGAGCCAGCACGTACACAATCTTTAGTACATACAAAAGGGTTTTCTATTCACATTGAAAAAGCTTACATCCATGGGAAATTATTCTTAGTAAATCTATAGTACTTCCTACAAATTGTTTAGCAGCTGATTCCAAATGATATACAAAAACTGTTACATTTTGAAAATTTTCTGGAGAGTATTTTAGAGAATATGAAAGCATGAGCGCATCTCTCCTATAATTAAGTACCAAAGTACAAAACAAGACGTGAAGCAGGTGCCAGGGACCAATACCACAGCCTTTAGGAGGATTTTATAAGCCCCACACACACTATTTTTGAGAAACTTTCTATTTATATTTTGGAGTTCAAAGTGAATGAATGATTCTCAGCCACATTAGCCAAACATACCTTACCAAATTTGTGAATTATTTTAATAAGTTAAAGCAATTCAGGGCTATCCCTACAAAAACATCATTCTTAACCATTTCAAAATGTTGTCCTGGGTGGGAAGGAATAGGTGGGGTGTGGGCTTCTGGGAAAGAAATTGTCCTCAGCCCTCAACCTCATGTGGGATTGACACATCCATGGGAATGTGTGACTCCTGGGAACATCATCCAGCAAGCACATCACCCGCAAGCTAAAAATGGACTGTGAGGAAGCTGCTTCTTCCCACTGTACCTTACAGGCTTATGTTTCAAATTCCTAGATGTTGGTGGAAATGGAAATGAAATGCCATGAAACTAAGGGATTCTGGGGGCTACAAAACAAACAATTCAGGTGGGAAAGCACATTTCCTTCAATATCAGACAGACAGGATATTTTAGCTGTAGAAAAAAAGAAGAACCTGGGAATAACCTAGAATTGAAGGAAAGCAAAATCAATACATTAAACCAAATTATTACTGGGAACATATATAAATGGATTTACTTCTACTGTATAAAAGAAGCCTGAGTCCAAATAGTACATATATATGATATATATAATATGTTTTTAATCACCCAGTGATTTTTTTTCTTTTCTTTTTTTTTT